TGTCTTTTCATTTGACTGCTGCGCAGCGCAAATATGCCCTCGCGGACAGACGCATACGCCATTCAAACAGTAAGTACCATCACGGCATGTTGTAGGATCATCTTCACAGCTATTGTTCGCTTTTCCTAGAAAAATTTTTATCAGGAATTTGAATTTAAATGCCTGTCAAAAACCTCCAAAGAAAGAACACACAGTAAGACTTTTATAACAATTAGTTTACCGCTTATGGAGTTGGATTAAGTCTCGGAATTTCACTAACAGCTTTCCGGTAAAGAAAATAACGAAATTTTACATGCTGGCGGAGATTAATAAACGGAGATATCCAAGCCCAGGATGGACGAATCTAACATCGACATATATATATATATATATACATATATATATATGTATATATATATGTACATATATATATATATGTCATCCGATCTATGTATTCTTAGCCTTTTTTGATAATTAAGGTTAGCAAAATCGAAAAGTACTACAGATATCTTCATACTATTGATATTACTGCCGAGCAATTCCTGAACTGCATGCTTGCAGTTAGTAGCCACCAACTGCTTGATGTGTGTGCATCACCTCTTCGGAAACCGTCCGCTGGTAAGTTGTTGAATTTGGAGTCCGGCTATAGAAGTGGGGTTGATAACAAACAATCTGGACTGGAATCACTATGAATATACCGAATATCTCAAATTTTTGCGCAGTGCCGGGCCACTCACTTGAAAATGTCGCTTTACGGATGCATTTACCACTCCGGGCAATAAAGCCATCACAGCAATTGCAAAAGCCATTTGAACAGCATGAGTTTATACAGGCTTTTCCAGGCCAGCACCGATCGCCCAGTACTGCTGAAATATATCGCTAGCATATGCTGAAGTGTGTAAAAAACTATTTTGCAAAGTTCGCCAATTGCAAAGCATCTGATCAAAGCAACTATTGGCATAAATGTCAGGAAAATGCTGTTAAACAAGGCTTGAGCTTTGCTGCCAGCTTGAATAGGATTAGCTAGTGCTCTTACGCTTTTCAAAAGGAGTAAAAAAAATTTGTTTGTGAAAGGTAAAACAAACACCTTACAGGTTCCAAACATCTGAAAAGTTTAAGGCAATTGTATTAATAGTGCCAACTTAAAACCCTCAAAAAAATTTAGACAGCCATACTGTGCTGGTGGTCCTGTGTTCGTTCTGCCCGGAAAGGAATACCAGCTCTACTAGCCTGCCGGCATTAATATAATATGGAAAAAACGATTTTTATGCATATCAAACCTTGGTCATTTCCAATGCACTGCTGACCGCGCTGCAAGCTGCCAAACGGGCATCCACACTTTCCGGCAATGCAGATACCGCCACCGGCACAGCGATTCGATTGCCAGGCAGTACAGTAATGTCCCAGAGGTATTTTCATAAAATCAGCATTGTTTCTTCGAATGCTTCGCTTGAAGCGCAAACCTGACGGTTACACAGGCATCATTTGGGATGCCAGTGTAAACAATAGGATTAGATTACGGGTAAAGGGATGTGAAAATGCTGGTGAAAAAA